CTGCATAGGGTTTCCGAGGAGCAAGTGGTGGGTTTGAACAGCTGACCTTGCCATTCTAACTGACTTTGCAGTCCAGTGCTTGCCCTACAGCACCACACTAGGACTCTGAAAAGAAAAATAGAACCAGGTAGAAGGAGGTAGGAATGCAGATTCAAATTGTGTGTTCCCCATGGTTGTTGTGTGCCATCAAGTCAATACCAATTCATAATAACCCTCCAAGAGAGAGTCCAACTGTCCTGCATAATTTTATGGGAGCAAATCCGTAGTTCTTTCTCCTATGGAGCTGCTGGAGGATTCAAACTGTGGGCCTTTCCAGTTAGCAGGTGGGTGCTGAACCATTACATCACTAGAGTTGCTTGTGTTAGTGAAGGCCTCGTTGAGAAGTGAAGGAGGTGAGGGAGTGAGCCAAGCGGAGATCTGGGGGAAAAGCAGTCCAGGCAGAGGTGAGGCCAGTGCAAAGTACCTGGGGCAAGAGCACATAGGGTGTAATGACCAGGGGGGCTGGAGGCTCCACTGAGCTGGTGCCCTTGGAAGGTTGTGTTCTGGCTTAGGCTTTAAATCCTAATGACTAACTATGGGGATTCTCAAGTCATAATCCTATTATTGTATATTACTTTAACTGTGCTGTAGGATAAGCATCGGACTGCTAACCTCAAAGTAGGTGATTCAAAACCACCGGTCGTTCCTTGGAAACCCCATACAGGGTCACTATGAGTAGGAACCAACTTGAAAGCACTTCACAACAACAACAACAACAGAAAACGTATGGATTCTCAAGACATAATGCTATTGCTGTATTGTTACTTTAACTTGAAAGTTGGGTATTTGGTGAGTGATGGGTTACTTTGACTAAATGCTATTTCTGTGTACCTACATGTATATATTAAGGCACTCTGGTAGCGTAGTGGTTACGAATAGGGCTGCAAACCTTAAGGTCAGCAGTTCGAAAGTACCGGTGGCTCCATAGGAGAAAGATGAGACTTTCTGCTCCTGTAAAGATTTACAGCCTCGGAAACCCTGTATAGGGTTGCTATGAGTCAGAACCGACTCCACGGCACTTTAACAACAACAATGTGTGTATATTAGACCCCTGATGTGGTGCTATACGATCAGCGTTGGACTGGGAACCGCAAGGTTGTTAGGTCAAACCCACCAGCTACTCCTAGAGAACCCTATACAGGGTTGCTATGAGTGAGAACCAACTCGACAGCACTTAACAACAGCAGGTGTATATATAAAGGGTCCCTAGGTCCCTGGGTGCCACACACTTAACTGTCAATGTAAAGGTTGCAGGTTTAACCCCATCCATCCAGCCCCAGAAAAGGCATGTTGATCTGTTTCCATAATGATGGTTGTGTTTTGGGTGATCCAGTTGATTCTGATGCACAGTGACCCCCTAGAGGACAGAGTAGAACTGCCCATAGGATTTCCAAAGCTGTAAATTTTTACGGAAGTAGAATGCCGCATCTTTCTTCTGCAGAGTTCCTGGTGGGTTTGAACTGCTGACCTTTCAGTGAGCTGCCGAGCACTTAATCACTGCACCACCAGGACACCTTCTGTAAAGATGACAGCCAAGAAAACCTTATGGAGAAATTCTGTTCTGTCATAGGTGGGGTGACCATGACTAGGCTTGTGCATACCCATGAATTGTTCTTGTGTTGGAGGAAGGCAGTAAACTTACTTTCTTTTTCAGATACAAAGTCATGAAGAACTGGGGAGTTATCGGTGGTATTGCTGCAGCAGTTGCCGCAGGAATATATGTTATTTGGGGTCCCATTACAGAAAGAAAGAAGCGTAGAAAAGGTAAGAATTAGGCCATTGCATTGTCTTCTGTTGATTGGATTCAGGCCCCTGTTCGCACCTATTCCAGAAACAGTAGCAAAAAGGGGACTTGTTCATTTTCTGGTCTTTGGTATCTTTAAGCCTAGGGCCTCCGTTTTTGAAACTGTACTTTCTTTTAACCAGAAGTTCAGTTTTTTAATCACTCATTATTTTACACCTTGTAGTGAAAAGATTTATATACTACAGCGACTTGAGTTTGGATGAGTTTGGAACGCGCTCTGTAATGAAAATTCCAAATGGTCAAGTGTTCCCCTTAATATAAGCACTTGTATTTTTCAGTATTAGTAAGTATGTGATGCATTTGTAGCTTTTCTAAATCACTTACTGCTTATTGTTGTTAGGTACTCTGGAGTCAGTATTTTGACTCCTGTTATGGAATCTTTATGGACACAGATCACCAGGTCTTTCTTCCTCAGAACTGTCGGATGCGTTCAGACTGCCAGCCTTTTCGTTAGCACCCGAGCTCTTAACCGTTGTGTCACCCAGGTCCCTTGGCTAGCTGCTAGACACTCATCAAAGTTTCGATCAAGTCTTTTCATTAATCAGAAGTTCCGTTTACTTGCTTTAGGAAAAAATGCTCCCCTTTGAAATAAATGTTGTATTTACATTAATTAAAATTCAGCAAAAAAGAAAAGAGACCTATGAAGCAAATGTGGCAAAATATCGATCATCGTTAAATCTAGGGATGGTTACAACTGGATTTTTTTCTGGAATTCTCTCCTTTGGTGAATGTTTGAGAACGCTCAATAAAAAGTTGTTTTAGCAGAAGAGTGAAGTCTGCCAGATGTTCCTGATCTCTTTTGCGGACAGACTGATCAGAGTTGTCATGTTTCCCTGCTGATTGTCAGATGAGAACAATCATTGTTCTTGGGGAGTAACAACAGAACAGTTGTTTTCTTCTCGTCTGAGAGTCATTGCTTTATTATTAAAGTAGAGAGACTGAAGAAAGAGGAGAGATTACTAAGTGTCTTTGTACATTCAACACGAACCAGGCTGTGCCTGATACCACCACGGGGTTAAACAGTACCACAGGACGGGATCCTGCTGTTGCATTCAGTTTCCTTAAGGAGGCGCTAGTGCTAGGACCAGGCCTCAGCCTGTGCAGACAGAGCCCTTGACCCCAGTTCCTTGAAAGCACTGACCCTCAGGCTGAGAGTCCAGAAACTCTTGTTCCTGGAGACTTGGCCTAATATGGTATGCTCTTCTCTTCTACTGTCTGTTTGTTTTGTTTTAGGGCTTGTTCCTGGCCTTGTCAACTTGGGGAACACCTGCTTCATGAACTCCCTGCTTCAAGGCCTGTCTGCGTGCCCCACTTTCATCAAGTGGCTGGAAGAGTTTACAAGCCAGTACACTGGTGATCAGAAGGAGCCCCCCACACACCAGTATCTGTCCTTAACGCTGCTACATCTCCTGAAAGGTACCCAGTCGGGAGCGCAAAGGGGATTCTGGAGATTTTCAAAGAAGTCCAAACAGAAGGCAAAGGGTTAACAACCTCCATGTCAAAAAGCATCACACAGCCTTTATGGGGGAAAACAAAGCAGAAAAGGCCCCAGGAAGAACCTACTAGATACAAAGAGGTTTCATTTATTTGTTTTTCATTGGAGGTACAACTATTTATTTTAGAAACAACATAAACACTGATAGTTCTTCTCAGTACAGATCCTGAGAAAAATAACTGGATTGTAGGATAAGAAATGAGAGCATGGTGGCTGTGTAGGATAAGCACTGGACTGTGAATCACAAGGTTGGCAGTTCGAGTACAACAGCCACTCCTAGGGAGAAAAATGAGGCTTTTTCTTCCCACCAAGATTTACAACTTCAGAAACCTTACACAAGGTTGCTATAAGTCAGAACCAACAAATCACTTAACAGCAACAGGCTATGTAAATATTAGTTGTTGTTGTTAAATGCTATTGCTTTGGTTTCGACCCATCGCGGCCCTGTATAGGGTTTCTGAGGAACAGCTGGTGAGCTTGAACCGCCGACTGTGTGGTTCAAAGCGACTTTGCAGTCCAGCACCACATCAGGACTCCATAAATATTAGTAGACGTTGTGAAATTGGTTCCTTCCCTTCCTCCCAGCATTTTAGGCAGAACTGAGTTACGGGACCAAAGAAGTAACAGAAGGGCTAAGGAAGGAAGAAGGAAGATATAGTCCCTTTCCCAACTCTGCTCCCTTTGTTCTGGAAGGTGATGGTCAAGCCTCAGGCAATCAAGAGAGCTGACAGATTTAGGCTGCATCTCCACCTGTCAGCACCCAGAATTACTGGCCACACTCAGGTGGGGGAGTAGTTTCCCAAATCTCTAGCTTCAGAGTCTGAAGCATTTAAACCTTGGGTGTCTCAAGCCCACTGATTGTTCTTCAGAGAAGAACAACCTGGCCTATTTTGACTTGGGACTCATGGAACTCCCAGATACTGCCGTGAGATGGCAGCCCCTTTATTTATGTCCCTGCCCTCTAGTGGTGGCTGGCTCATTGTAATATCCTACGGGGTCAGCAAACTGACCAACAAGTCAAATCTGGCCCACCACCTGTTTGTGTCAATAAAGTTGTATTGGCACATGCCACAGCCGCTCGTGTAGGGATTGGCTGTGGCTGCGTCTGCACTACAACAACACAGCAAAGTCACTGCAGCAGGGGCTGTAGGCCGCAGCCGCCAGGGAAGCCTCAGACTTACATTTTCCACCCTTTTTGTAGAGAGCTATCCTGTAACTCCAAGGAACTCTGGTAGCGTAGTGGTTACGAATCGGGCTGCGAACCTTAAGGCCAGCAGTTCCAAACTACCAGCCGCTCCGCGGGAGAAAGATGAGGCATTCTGCTCCCGTAAAGATTTACAGCCTCGGAAGCCCTGTACAGGGTCGCTATGGGTCGGATCCGACTCGACGGCACTTAACAACAACAACAACATCCTGTAACTCCAGAAACCCAGCTGACTTTGAGTTTTGCCTATTGAACCTGCCTCTATTTAGGTGCTCCCTAGGTAGCCTGATGCTTTGCTTTGGTAATCAGACAAGTGGAGGATTTTGGGACCCTGGAGGAAATGTTGTGCAGATGAGTTAAGAACTGAGTGTGAAGTTGGACTAGATGCATGTTTAAGGATTTTTCTGGAGTCCTGGTGTGGCACTGTGGGTTCATGCAGTCAGACTACAAAGTCCTTTGAACTGCAAAGTCAGTGGTTCAGGCTCACCAGGTGCTCCTTGGAAACCCTATACAGGGTCGCTATGGGTCGGAATCGACTCCACAGCACTAACAACAACAAGAGTTGGGGTTTAGCATCATTTTACTTAATAAGAATCTTGCAACAATTAATTTTCATTGATGACAGTATGTTCAAGTCTCAGAAAACCCGTTAGTTCATGTAAATACTGCAGTCTATGAAAAAGAGCACTTAGTCAGTAGACACCAAGTAGGTTCTGGTAGTGAGCCCTGCGGTTCCTCAGCGTTGATGGGATAAGGCCATAAAAACGCCTGATGAAAGAAATTAATTGCAAGAAGGATTTTAGGATACTTAACTCATTTTTAGGAGTCCTGGTGTGGCCCTGCAGGAAAAAGCACTGGACTGCAAAGCCGGTTTGAACTATAAGGTTGGTGATTCAAACCCACCAGCCATTCCTAGAAAACCCTAGACAGGGTCACTATAAGTCAAAACCAACTCAACGGCACTTAACAACCACACGTTTGTAGTTACCTGTGCTGTGTTGTGTTGTGCTGTGCAGTGCAGATTTTCTGCACAAGTTGTTTGGGTGGTGAATGTAGTCATATCTTTTTCTGTGTGTTTCCAGCTTTGTCCTGCCAGGAAGTTACTGAGGACGAGGTCTTGGATGCAAGCTGCTTGTTGAACGTCTTGAGAAAGTACAGATGGCAGATCTCTACGTTCGAAGAGCAGGTGAACACAAAATTCTGGACACCTTGGAACACCGCCCCCCAGTGGCTTAGTTGGGGTGGTTGAGATATGCAGCTGTGTGGCTGTAGCCCAAGACAAATGCTGGTTTCGACCTTGACATTGGCTGGGCCTCAGTGTCTACTTGTATGGCGTTTTGGTTTCATCCTGTTGTTCGCGGTCCAGAGCCCTCACCTTGTTCCTGCTCTCATGATCAGTGAGGAAATTGCCCTTTCTCACCTGAGGGAGAGAGTGTTAAGCAGCTCTGGTAACACAGTGATTAAGCACTTGGCTGCTAACCTAGAGGTCGGAAGTACAAACCCAGTGAGAAATGATGAGGCAGTCGGCTCTCATAGAGATTACAGCCTATGAGGCAGTTCTACTCTGTCCTGTAGGGTTGTTGGGAGTCAGAATCAACTCCGCGGCTACAGGTTAGACGGTGGTCAGCAGGACAGGACATCCGCATGAGCACAAATGCTGGTAGTTCTTGGTGACTTTGCACTCCGGTGGATGGTAGGGATGCCTGGGTCCTTAGTGATAAGTGGCGTCCACCTGGAGGCCCCAACCCTTTTGGAGACCATGTTCTCATTTTCTCATTTTCTCAGAATCACTGCTTCAGAGGCTGACTTGTGGAGGCTCCAAATAGGGAGCAAATGTTCAAGGGACTCCAGGGCCTTGTGCCAGCCCTGCCCACCCCCTTTTCCACTACTACAGCCTCTCTGACTTCTGGGGGACTTTGCTGTCTGTCCCGCCCCAAGTCCAAGGGAGTGAGGTTCTAGGAACAGCAGTGCCGTGCAGTTCCACTCTCCCCAGCCCCATTTCTTAGTCTGCCTCCACCTTGCAGACATTGTACCACACAGCCTGTTGAGCCTCCCAGTCTGTGGGGCTGAAGTGAGAGGCATTTAAAAAATCCTGAAAAGTGAGATTTGGAAGCTTTATTCCCTGATGTCATAGTCATCTCGTGTTGCACTAAACCAAGACACCACAAGGGGGCAGCGTTCACAAGCAGAAATGTATTCTCTCTCAGTTTATGAAACTAGACGTCCAAATTCAGAATGCCTGCTCTTTGTCAGTTCTGGGGAAAGGTCCTTGTCTCCTTTCAGTACCTTGTAGCCCCAGTATTCCTGGGAGATCTCTATATATCTTGGAATTAATCTTTCCCAGGATCTAGGAGCTTTACAGTACAGGGACCTTAGGTCCAAAAAATGCAATCCATTCTCAGCTCTTCTGTCTTGATGGATAGTAGGTCCCTCCTTCTGTGTTCAAGTCTCTCTCCTTTTATCTCTTGTGAGGTCACATGCCTCACCTTTTGGAGTCTCCTATAAATCAGATCAGGGTAGTGGTGGGATTAAGGGTATTACAGCCCACCATTAATCCTATTAAATGGTTTATCGTATCAGCTCACATCATAGGGGATAACTGCATTTCAACTGCTAAACTGCTGAGAATCCTGGTCCAGTCCAATTGACACAAGACCTTAGCTATCACACCTGCCTTAATTGTTAACATTGTCCCGTTTCTGCTTTAATCTGTGGTATTCCTTGTGATTATCCCAGGTAAGTGCAAGCAGTTAACATAGCCAACAACAGAGGCAGTTTACTTCCGAAACATCAACCACTGAAAACCCTATGGAACACAACTCTGCTGTGACACACAGGGTAGGCCGGAGGCAAAGGTATACACCTTCATTAACGCCCACCATGTTGAAATGTTTTCCCATCTAGAAAGTGCTTTTTCAGTTCTCTTCTGGTAACTGGAACTATTTAGCTGCATTTGACTGAGTGACTGAGATTTATTTCCAAGGGCATCACTAATTCTCCTAAGTCACCTCCATCTCTCAAGTATCACTGAAGTCTCCTGGCTCCCGCGCAGCCCACAGCAGTCCCTGACGTGCTGGTGCTGCGTGTGTGAAAGTTCACTCACTCTCTGAATGCCTCAGAGCATGTAGCACAGGCCTCATCCACATCTGGGTTATTCATAAGTCACTAAGGAGTTACTGTTCTGATCCCTGTTTTATACTTGACAGCACTGTGACTCAGAGAAGTGAAGTAACTTACCCAAAGTCACACAGCTGTTTAGGCGACAGGACCAGGATTAGAGCCAGTCTGGCACGAAAGTTCCACCCTCTTCTACAACAACCCCGTTCCTCTTCTCAGGGCCAAGTGGCTACACAGCTGATGGTGACAGAGGAGGTTTTCCTCCCTTTTTTAGTGAAGGCTCCTGGGCCTCCCAGAGTCCTGATGTGGTACTGGACTGCTAACAATAAGGTCAGCAGTTGAAACCCACTAGCCGCTCCTTGGAAACCCAATACCGGGTCGCTATGAGTAGGAACTGACTTGATGGCACTTAACAACAACACCTGGGCTTCCCAGGAATCGCTCCTCTCCCAGCTCCCTGGCTTATTGGTCAGAGCAGGGCCCTGGCCCAGGTGCCATGGGTAAGAACTCAGTGGCCACCTGCACCCCTGGGTTGGGTGTCCCCTCTCTTTGCTTCTTTGAACCTCAGATCCTCTCCCAGGAGAGAGTCACGTCTGCCTGCCATGAACGTTTATTGATAGAGGCCACCAGCAGGTCACTGTCATAGCATGGGGGCGGGGGGGCAGAGTGTCAGCAAGGCCATTTCAAGGCAGGCCAACAAGACAATAAAACCAATCCCGTGAGACACCTGGGGGCGGACTGGGGATGAGAGCAGCAGCAGTGGGGCCACTGCAGCTGAGCCATGCATGTAAGAGGGGCCTGTGAGGCCCTGAGGCCTGGCTGCCGAATGTTCAGATAACAGACACCCATCTGGAGGGGCTGTGAGGATGCAGTGTTTGACTAGTGTGACCATCAGCAAGAAAATGGAGGAGTAAGTGCTGCTGGGCCTGCGAGGCCTCGGCAGGAGCCTGGCTTCTGTACAGTGTGCGCAGGAGTATGCCGTGGCAGCTCCTTAGGCCTGCTGAGATGTAACTTCCCTTGGGAAGTGGCCATTCTGGGGGGACATTCGAAGCTGTGGCAGCTGAGCTTGAGGTGGAGCAGGCAGCGATCCTGTAGAGACTGAGGGTGTCACCGGAGCTGCAGGGCTCCTGCTGAATTGCTGAGGAGCAGGGTTGAGCGGTGTGGAGGCAAGAGGTAGAGAAAGAGGCAGGCCAAGTCCTTCTCCACTGGAGCATGCTATGTGCAGAGGCCCTGAGTTGGGGATGTGTTTGGTGACAAAGGCGGCAGCAGAGCAGGTGGGGTAAGTGAAGGGGAGCTCAGGTGGAGGGGCAGATCACAGTGAGAGTCTCAGGAAGGCCCAGAGCTGAAGAGCCAAGTCAGGAGTGTTTTAAACCATCTCTCTGGTCCTTGTGAGTCGGGGGAGACCAAGAGAGGAAGTCAGGAGCCACAGAGGAGGCCAGACTTGTTGGAGGCTTAGGTTCCTGGGGGGTCTAGTGGTGCTGAAAAGAGGCAGTATACTAGGGAATAGGAGGAGTGTTCTGGGAGGGAACCCTATCTACCCTGCAGGATTGAGGGAGTTTTGATTTTTAGGGAGACGGTCATTTGCTCCTTAAAGAGCTATCCTGTGTGGGCCATCCCAGTAAAGCTAAGCCCGACTCAGAGACAGCTGGCCCCAGCTTGCTTTCCTTCACTGTCCTCTTGGGCCTCTGGTCTTCATTAGGAAAACGGCTAGGACAGGCCTGTTTCTGTTTAGTGAGCTGGGATTTACAGGAATGCTGGTGGTGGTAGATGATGCTGACTTGATTTTTGACCCATAGCACCCCCATATGACAGAGTTTTCTAAGCTGTCATCCACTGAGTCAGAATTGGCTCGATGCTAACAAGTTTGGTTTTTGCTTTAAAATCTTTATGAGAGCAGAGAGCTGGATCTTTTCTTCCATAGGTAGAAAGACCCGACTTTTTTTTTTTTTTTAATGAAACTCAATGAAGAAAGCTATTTCAGTTTACTCTTCTGGAACATTTTTTTTTTTTCTATTCTATCACATGATAAAAAAGGTGGAGTGAGTTTTGAAGTCAGCTTCAAAGGTATAAGGTGGCATATTCAAAGATGGCTTATATTCCCGGGTCACCTCACCCCACGTGCAGTCATTGCTGAGTGGGTTTGAACTGCCAGCCTTTTGGTTAGCAGCTGAGCACTTACCACCAGGAGTCATTTCCACTGAGCTGGAGCACCTGAGCTGCATACTTTTTAGCCCCGATGGTAGGGAGCAGTGTCTCTTGCTGCCGCCTGCTGATCCCTGCCAGGAACTTCCCGATGCTGCCCTGGCCACGCCCTTTCTGAAGAATGCTCTGCCCTTTGACAGGATGCTCACGAACTCTTCCACGTCATCACCTCATCGTTGGAAGATGAGCGAGACCGGCAGCCCCGGGTCACACACCTGTTCGATGTGCACTCTTTGGAGGTAAGTCCTTCAATTGTCAGTACCTTGGATGCTGTTTGCCTGTGTTTAGTAACAGAAGCCAAACAAGTGTACGCTTAGCACAACTTTAAATTTAGATGTTATAGTCAATAAAACCCAGCAGTGAGAGTGAGGATGAGGGCAGGGTGGGAGGGAGGAAGGAAGATTCTTTCTTGGCAGCTGATGACTTTGATGAGGGACGTCAGCGGCTTTGAAGCGACCCCTTTAAAAACATGTTGGCTTTGAGAAGAAAGAACGTATGATTTCTTTTCTTCCATTAAAGTTGGCAAGAAACCATAGGAATGCTAACCAAGTTCTCAAAACCATAAGAATGTGCAGGAAGCTGATCAAAAGGGGGAGAAATATTCTGGAGAGGGGGAATAGGTTCTGGTGGCATTTGCTGAAGGAATATGGACAGTAAGCAACCAGAGAGGGGAAGTGTGACAATTTTAGGAACCTGGCCTCTTTTTGGTACATGGTGCCGTCAACAGAGAAACTTGGGAGCCTCGGGATGGGCTGAGAGTGACGAAGGTACGACAGGAGCGTTCTCAGTCTGTTTCTTTTTTCCCTACAGCAGCAGTCAGAAGTTACCCCTAAACAGATAACCTGCCGCACAAGAGGTAGATGTTTCCCACTGAAATGTAACACATCTGATGAGTGCTTTTTAGTTATGACAACCTTTTACTTTTGTTACACTTTGTTATTTTCCTGGTGACATTCCAGTCCAGCTCAAACACGTGCTGTGCTTGAAATGATTCCCTGGATGACCATCTTGAATTGTCCCTTCCTACCATAGCCCTACTCCGTTCCCTAAAAACAGGATCATTAATACCTTGAACAAGGATTTTCTTTCTACCTTGTTGAATTGATCCTGTGAAGAACTTAAGAGGCCACATCTGCTGTGTCCTCAACATTCCTGCCCTGGCCAGTGCTTAGTGCGAAGGACCACAGCCCTCCTTAGATGGAAACGGTGGTTTTCTTACAGGGAAAGCTCACAACATAAAATTGATGCGTTGATTTCCTTGTGCAATTATAATACCCATTTCTGTGGAGAAGTCCAACTCCTAGCAACCCTGTAAGACAGAGTAGAACTGCCCCATAGGATCTCCCAACGCTGCCATGTTTACTGCCACATCTTTCTCCCATGGAGTGACTGGTGGATTCGAACTGCCAACATTTCGGTTAGCAGCAGAACGATTAAACACATTAATAATAAGAAGTAATATATTTTTGAGACCGTGTTGCTTGCCAGGCACTATAGTATCTCATTTAAGTCTCGAAAAAACTCAGTGAAGTTGAGGATCCTGGGGATAATGCTGTAATTGTTATCCCTCTTCACGGCAAACTGAAACTTCCAGAAATTGAAATGACTTCCATAGTCACGTAGCTAATATGAAGCAGAACCAGGACCAAGTCCAAGATTGCTAGACTTTGGTACCGCTGTTCCGAACTAGCACATTACACTGTGTACATTGCCTCCCTCTCCCGCCCATCCAAAGACAACCCCAGCTTTCCAGATTCTTATCCTGTCTTATTTCTACCCTTCACATCACTTTATCAAATGTCCATCACACTGTTTCTCATCTCAGACATTTGACGCAAATGTTTGTGAGAAGGTGTTATTTAAGCACAACTTGCTTTTTATTTAAACAGGACTGTCCCATTATATAGAAGCACATTTAAAGACCTGTGATAATCCTCATGTGAAGGGAGTGGGGTGTGGTTTTTGATGGAAGCCCATGAGGAAATGTGTTTTTACCTTTGACCTCAGAAACATGTTTATGTTATTCTTTCCTGATGAGGGAGTTTCTACCACATGCTGAAAAAGGAGGGTAAGTTTTGAAGTTAACTCCAAGGGGTTTACGGAGGCATATCCAAAGCCGGTTTGTATTCCAGGGTTCCCTCACCCCATGTCCAGTCACTGGAAGGCTCAGCACCCTTTCCATGGAAGACTTACCAGTAATATGGTCTGCAAACACTGTGAACACCAGGTGAGCACAGGGCGGTACTTGGTATGTTCTGTTGAGGCTTTTAAGTTAGCTTTGTGTGAGGGTCTTATTTCGGGAGCTGACAGCTGCTGCCCCTTTTGGCACCACTGGCTCGTTGTTTGGTCCTTAGATGGCATCTTGAGCCCCAAGAGCAGCAGACCCCCTGTGAGCCAGCAGAGGTTCCAACTTATAACGACCCTGTATAGTTTCCAAGGAGCGACTGGTGAGCTTGAACTGCCTACCTTGCGCTTCAAACCAACCTTCTGTCCAGTGCATTAACCCACAGTGCCACACATAGAATTGATGTCTATCTATTTACCTTGTAGCCTGAGACCTTGAAATAATTTACTTACTTGTTTTAGAAGTTTTATAATCACTTCCTTAGAATTCTCTATGTATGGTGTCTGTGAATACAAAGTCCTTCTTTCCTTCCAATCTCCATGCCTTTTATTCACGTTGCATTCTTCTACTACATTATTTTAAATGACAGCATAGTATTCCATTCTGTAGATGTGCCATTATTTATTGAAGTGTTCCCTAGAAATTTAGACTGTGCACATTTGTGCTGTTAGGAATAGTGCTGGGGTGAACATCTTTGTAGCTATACCCAGAATCATTTCCTAGGATAAAATCCCAGAATTGCTGGGGTGGGTATGTAACCTTTTGGTTTTTCCATGTTATCCATTAACATTTTAGTCTGAGGTGGTTTTTATTTGTAGGTGGTTTTTTAATGGAATGCACTTCTAACTAAGTTTGTGTCTTTTAATGTTGGGCATGTAAACTGTAGTAGTCTCTTTCATAGTTATATATATCCCCATTTATAAAACCTGAAACTGAACCCTTCCTGGGTTTCTGCAACCTTTGTTTCAGAGTCCGGTTCGATTTGATACCTTTGATAGTCTTTCACTGAGCATCCCAGCTGCCACTTGGGTAAGTACTGATCTGTGGTTTATTTTGAGTCTGTGTCAAGACATTGAAATCTCAAAGGCCTGTTAGGCATTTCATGTGACTTGGGTAGTATGTGTTCCTCAGACACATGATTGTTGGAACCCTAATTGGCTTTAATGTATAGGTAGGACCTGAGGGGCCCCAGCGGGATGCAAATTTAATGTATTTGGCTGCTGACCAAAATGGTGGTGGTTAAGTCGACCCCAAAAGTGCCTTGGAAGAAAGATCTGGCAATCTCTGTCTGGAAAATCAGCCCTTGAAACCCTATGGAGCGTAGTTCTACTTTGACATATATGGGATCACCACGAGTCAGAATTGACTGGTTACCATGGCCTGAACTTGAGGCATAGGAAGGTGGATGTTTTTCTTGCTGCAGAAGCTTTGTCGTTTCTGAGCGTGTGTGTGTATGTGTTTATATTACACTCAAGCTCAGATATTTAAAACAGTGTTGAACTCCATACTTTGCTGCAGTATCACCTTCCTGTCATCTTGAACCTGTCAGTAACAGGAGGTGTGGAGTGCATTGAGCTCCATGTTTGTTGAGGAAATGTTTGGTTGTATGGATCCCCCTGCTGCCTGCTGGTGGTTTCAGTGTAGCTCCCCACCAAATTGTAATAATCCGTTTTCCTCGTCTCATACTCTAGGGTCACCCGCTGACCCTGGACCACTGCCTGCACCACTTCATCTCATCAGAGTCCGTGCGGGACGTCGTATGTGACAACTGTACGGAGGTATGCACTTATCCTCAGATGTCATTGCCAGTCTCGTATCCCTAACCTGGTGTGGAGACCAGCAGCCTCAGAACCGTGTCTCTTCTCCTGATGAGTTTTGTGTCACCCCCAGAGTGCTGAAGAAGACATGCCTACATCATACCGAGATGGGTGGGGCCTGGTCGCTCCACTTTGTCACAGTTGCCAACGGGCCCTATTGTCTCACATCTTGCCTTTTCACCTGTGTACTTGCCTGACATGCACAGCCCCTCCCCGCTGTTATAAGTAATTGCATTTTACCTTCTGGAGTTCACAGTAACTATGTGGCATAGAAAGATGTTCTGATGGATCAATGGGTAAGCACTTGGCTGCTAAACAAAAGGTCGGTGGTTCAGACTCACTAGCCACTGCACAGGAGGAAGATGTAGCTAGTTTGCTGCTTTTGTAAAAGTAAAGTTGAGAAAGAAACCCATTTCCATCAGTCAGTTCTGACGCATAGCAGCCCCCTACAGGATAGAGGAGAACTGCCCCCGAGAGTTTCCAAAGCTGTCATCTGTACAGATGTGCAGACTGTCCCATCTGTTTCCCACAGAACAGCTGGAGGCTTTAAACTTCAGAAGTTTCGGTAGCAGACGAGAACTTGACCACTGTGCCCACAGGGCTCCTTGGAAACCCTCTAGGGGCAGCCCTCCCTTCTCCATCCTGTAGGTTCTTGTGAGACGGAACCCACTCAGTGGCAGTGGGTTTTTGTTTTGGGTGTTGGTGTGGAATCGGTTTTGAAGACAGAGAGCGCAACGGATGACATGCCAGTGCAAGTTCACGTTGACTCTGTCTCCTCTTCCCTCCACTGCTAGTGTGATTTAATGGGAACAGTTCACAGGTGAAGGGCAGGCTCATGTCCAATGTCTTCTACGGGCACTGAGCATCTGCCCACCGGGTCCCACTGTGTCAGGCACAAGTGGATGCAGCCATAACCCCAGCCTGACGTGCGCGTCTCCAGAGATGTCCTGCCTCGTGCACCTTTGCAGAGAAACAGCATTTCTTTCATTTCAGATAGAAGCAAAAGGGACAATGAATGGGGAAAAGGTGCAACACCAGAGGACCACTTTTGTCAAGCAGTTGAAGCTCGGGAAGGTGAGGCCACCACCCACACACGCCGCCATGTAGGTTGGGCTGGGTGTCCCCAGTGTGCCCCACTCCTGAGACCGCTCGGCTCTTTCCCTGCAGCTCCCTCAGTGCCTGTGCATCCACCTGCAGCGCCTGAGCTGGTCCAGCCACGGCACTCCCCTCAAGCGGCATGAGCATGTGCAGTTCAACGAGTTCCTCATGATGGACATCTACAAGTACCACCTCCTAGGTTCCCAGTCCGGCCAGCACAAGTCGAAACCCAGCACTAGCTCCGGGCCGGCTCTGGAGCATCAGGACGGTCTAGCTGCCCCCAAGGCAGGTGTGTGGAGCTGACTGGCCAGGAAAGAAAAGGGGGAGGGGCTTGCATAACGACTTCTTAAGTTTGGAGAATGGAAGGGTCGGAGGTAGCCGAGAGAGGAGCTCATAAAAAATATTGATATTCTGTACCAATGAGATGTACCATTTCCAAAAACTATTTTCAGATGAAAATGCACAGGGAGTGAAGCTCTATTGTTCTGGCTTCCTGGTCTTATGACTATTCAAAACATCACATCATTCCAGTGAGTTTTCTCTCTCAACGCAGTCATTCCATTTAGACAGGAAATGCCCTAGCTCCAGGTTAGTGAGGGCCATGTGTTGATACTCATTCCTTATGGCTCTATTGTCTAATTCCATTCCTGTCTCCATTGGAGGTGAATCAGTGACGCAATGAACAAAACCAGACCGGTTACTGTCATGTCATCTCTGCCTCCTGGCAACCCCATGGGTGTCAGACTATGTTCCTTAGGGTTTTCAGTGACCTATCTCAGAAGTTGGCCATCAGGCCAGTGAGGTGCCTTTGGGTGGACTTGAACCTCTGTCCTTTCAGTTTGCAACTGCGCTCCTGAACCATTGGTACCCCCAGTGATACAAGGGAGCTATGGTTACTTTCAGTCTTAGTGCAGAGAAAGGAGTGGAGGGACGGTACCCGGAGCAAACAGCAGGGGGCGCTGGAGCTAGAATGCAGTGATGGGCAGTTTCATAAAGGTATTTTAGGAATCTAGGAGCCCTGGTGGTGCTGCTGTGGACTGCTGACCACAAGGACCGCAGTTCAAACCCACCAGCTGCTCCACGGGAGAAAGATGAAGCTTTCTACTCCTGCAAAGATTTACAGCCTCGGAGACCTGATACTGGGTCACAAGAACCAACTTCATGGCCGTGAGTTGGAGTGAGTAATACACTGAGGTCTCTATAGAGTTACTGGTGAGGAAACTAAAACTCAGTAACTAAGGCTCCTGGCCTAAATGAACCACCCACATGCTGCTTCCAGTGAGGTTGGGATTGTGTCCCCGCACCCCAGCCTTTCCCCGATCAGTGTCCCTCACCACCACCGAGTGGTCTGGTGAGACATCATTGCTGGGAGGTCAGCAGATGAACGTAGGGCTGGGGCAGGGTGAGGGCAGAGTCCTTGGTCCTTGTTTTTAATCAAGTGCCTTTCCCCCTAGCTCCTCCTCTCCCGGATAGGGAGGTGCAGGTCTGCTTGTGTTCACGGCAGGGTACTCAGGCTAAAACTCCAACAGTGAACTCTCTGGTCCTTAAAGACCCCCAGACAGGACACTTAAAAGGAAAAGAGATGTCAATATCATATTATTTTGAAATCTATGCCCAACAACTTTTATTATAGTGTTACATGTATGTTGGTATTCTTTAGGAGTTGACAGAATTGAGAATGTTTAGATTGATATTCTCAACAAGGGGCAGTTCTCCCACCCCCCACCTGGGGGACATTGGGCATGATCTGGAGACATGTTTGTTGGCACAGCTGGGGTGGGAAGTTGCTACTGGCATCTAGAGATGCTGCTAAGTACCGTACAACACCCAGGACAGCCACTGCAATAAAGACTTCCCCAGCCTAAAACATTGGTAGTGCCAAGGCTGAGAAACCTGGGTTTAGATCAGAATGCCAGTGTATTAGCTACTGCTGACTGTTAGCCCAGTACTGCTAACCCAGTGTGACAACCAGATTGGAATCTCAGCATTTCCAAGTTGTCGAGGCTAGCAGTGGACCAGAAGCCAGGTACAGGTACACTTTCCTACTGGGTAGTAAGAGACAAGATTGGGGACAAAAAGGTAAGAGCTCTTGTAAATCAATAGGCTTTGAAATGAAATGCTTTTTTTTTTTTCATTGTAGCATAATTGTTAAGAGTTGATCTTCTGCCAGTACTGAAAGCTGCTACTCATTTTAATTACCTCCGGCTTTTTTCTCTTGCAGTTCTGAATCAGCCAGGGGTCCCCAAAAGACAAATGTTTATGAATGGTGCCTGCTCCCCATCTTTACTGCCAGCACTGCCAACTCCGATGATGTTCCCTCTCCCAAGTATTCCTGACTACAGGTGAGCTACACCTAGCACAGAACTTCATTCGTTTTAGGCTGCTATTTCTCCTTTCTAAGGCGCTCTGATAGCGTAGTGGTTACGAATTGGGCTGTGAACCTTAAGGTCAGCAGTTCGAAATTACCAGCTGCTCCGCGGGAGAAAGATGAGGCTTTCTGCTCCCGTAAAGATTTACAGCCTTGGAAATCCTGTACAGGGTCACTATGGGTCGGAACCGACTCGACAACACTTAACAACAACAACAACATTTCTCCTTTCTAAAAATGAACTCTTCATAGAGGAATTTTTAAAAACTTAGAGATGAGTCTTTCTTTCACTTTAAGGTGGAGTTTCACTATGTCACATATCCCCCAAGGTCCCTGGGTGGTATAAATGGTTTGCAATCAGCTGAGAACCTAAAGGTTGGTGGTTCAAACCCACGTAGTGGTTGTTTGGGAGAAAGGCCTCCATCAAGCTGACAGCCAAGAAAACCCGGGGGGCGGGGGTGGCACTGTGAGCAATCCAACAGCAGTTAACAACAATTGCCCTGGTTATTTCTGTCCAAAGTGGAAATAACAAAATAAGAATTAGAAAAATACCTAAAATATAAAAACCTGTATGTGTTGTATATGTGTGCATGCACATATGTTGTTAAGTGCGTTGAGTCGGTTCCAACTCAGAACGATCCTGTATAGGGTTTCTGAGGAGCAGCTGGTGGGTTTGAACTGCCAACCTTGCAATTTGCAGTCCAATGCTTATCCAACAGTGCCACACCAGGACATTGTGCACCTACATGTATCTATTAAATCTTTAGGGTCTCTCACTCTGAGAGCTGTGAGCGTGCACACAAATGGACATCTGGCCAGACCAGTAAATATAATCTGTGTCTTAGTGGTTGTATGGTGTTACTGTGTGCTGTCCCGTCAGTTCTGACTCATGGTGACCCTGCATAGGGTTTCCAAGGCTGCAAATCTTTGGGGAAGCAAAAAAGCCTCATCTTTCACCCGTGGACTGGTTGGTGGACTCAAACTGCTGACCTTCCTGTTACAGCCCTACTGCCCTACTGCGCCACCAGGACTCCTGTATGTAACTCAGTACTATACAAACACTGGTAGCATAGTGGTTACGAATTGGGCTGCGAACCTCAAGGTCAGCAGTTCGAAACTACCAGCTGTTCCACAGGAAAAAGATGAGGCTTTCTGCTCGGGTTGCTAACCTCAGGGCCAGCAGTTCGAAACTACCAGCTGTTCCACGGGAAAAAGATGAGGCTTTCTGCTCGGGTTGCTAACCTCAAGGTCAGCAGTTCGAAACTACCAGCTGTTCCTCGGGAGAAAGATGAAGCTTTCTGCTCCCATATAAAGATTTACAGCCTCGGAAACCCTGTACAGGGTCAATATGAGTTGGAATCAACTCCATGGCACATAACAACAACAAAGATTTACAGCCTCAGAAACTCTGTACTCCACGGCATATAACAACATACAACCACTCTGTACAGGTGTCCATTGTATGTACCATTGTATCAGTGTCCTGTTGAACACATGGGGTTCTCTGGTTTTTTGATGCCTTCTATAGAGCCTTTCTGTGCCATTTGTGAATTGCATTTGTCCCTCCCCTCCAGCTCCTCCACGTATCTCTTCCGGCTGATGGCTGTTGTTGTCCACCATGGAGACATGCACTCTGGACACTTTGTGACTTACCGCCGGTCCCCACCATCAGCCAAGAACCCGCTGGCAACCAGCAACCAGTGGCTGTGGATTTCTGACGACACGGTCCGTAAGGCCAGCCTGCAAGAGGTTCTGTCCTCCAGCGCTTACCTGCTCTTCTATGAGCGAGTGCTGGCCAGGACGCAGCCCCAGGGACAGGAGTACACGTCAGAGGAGTGAGGGCCTATGCACCGTCCACACCGTTCAGGAAAATGCCATCCATACTGTGTGTGTTACGCAAGCATTCCCACTAGTGTGTGCTCAGAGCAGGCTGAGGCTCCGGGCAACTCTGTGAGCAGCATTGAGGGGTGGGAGAGCATCATCTACCACCAAGTACAGGTCATTAAAGAGACATCCCACTCCAGAAGGCCTTTTTATACACTACCATGTTAGGTGTCATCTGAGGGGCGTCAGGCTGACCCTCTGATGTGTCAGTATAGTTTTTCTTTTCTAATGAGCAGGCCCATACAAATTGTTGACAAGAATCAGTGGAGTTATTAAAGGCAACAATTGAGAAGAAAAAGTGCCTTTCACTTTGGACAGCCTTTGTAGCACAACTATTCTGGAAATGAGACATTATTTAGGAGTCACATAAACAGTTTTTTAAAATCTCTGTTCCTTCAGATACTTAGCAGAAACCAGAGAACAGTTCAAAGATGCCTGAAGAACACACCGTACCCCCTTTTTTATGTCCTTTTCTAATCTCTCAGTTCTTTCTACGTGGTAAAGATGGAGCTGTCAAACCAGGCCCTCGGGGAGAGGCTGCCACTTGCCTGTTGCCTTCACCTTTTGTACATGAACTCATAAGAGCAGTGGTTAGATTAGAAATCTGTTCAGAGAGCCCCAACCCAGCACTTTGTGAGCGACACATGGGGCTCGTCTGCTCTGTAGAATACTCTAGTTCACTGGGATCCTTTGTGGATGGCTGTGTTGAGATCCCACAGCTTGATTTGAGAGCTGCATTCAGAGGGAAGGACCCGGACCGGGGGACTGCAGTCTCTCTCGACCTCAGTTTATTTGTAAAGTGAGGGGATTTGTCTGATGGCCACGAAAGCCCAGCCTTTGCCACAAAAGAAAGTGGCTTTGATTGATTCATAAACACACAGCTACAGCTGACATGCAGTACTGCTTTTCAGCTGCTCATTTTGTTCTATGACATGATTAGAAAACTTCCTTTGTTTCCAGTAACATAATATTAAAAAAATATATATTGAGCATTTCCTCCCTTTTCAGGTGTCTTATGAACGAATGCACAGGGTGGCTATGAGTCGGAACCGACTCTACGCAGGAACACAGCCCAGAGCTGAAGGAATTTTGATGACACAGTACTACCTATGTTTTTCAGCATTCTGGTAGCACAGTGGTTAAGCACTTGGCTATTAACCAAAAGTTGGTTCCGAGAGAAAGATGTGGTCATCGGTTTCCAAAAAGACCCACCTTGGAAGACCTGGGGCTCCGTGTCCACCCTGTCCTACTGGGTTGCTGAGTGGGAATGTCTGCTTGCCAATGGCTCATGCAGTCACCGAAGATTTTTTTTAAAAAAAAAAAAAAAAAAGATACCAAATGCAACTGGACTCTTCTAGGGTAAGGTTGGGAATTCAGAAGGTCACATGAGGCAAGGCCAAGCCCTGTGCTGCCCGACCTGGATGTTGATGCCTTGGCGTATCAATGGAAAGTGCCAGAAGCCACCAGGCCAGCATGCATCTTAAGGACTCAGTGACTCTCACGATTAAAGGAACATACTATGGAGGGACTCTGGGCCACGCACACCTCCAACCACCTGTTCTGTCCCTTGCTGATGTCCTTCATCCCATGGCCGACCCTGCCTTTGATGTTAAAACAAGTGTACCCGCTGTGCCGTGAGCTGCACTGCAAAGGTGGAGCTTGGAGTCATTCTCCATCTGCCACGGCTCCCTCTTTGAGAGAGCATCCGTTAGAGAGAGGTGGCAGACTGAAGGGGATAATCCTTTTATGGGTTCCTTGTCAGCAGACCTTTAGTCAGAAAACGGGTAAACCAAGGTTGTAAAAGTGAACCTTGCCTGTACAGTCTACTCATCTGACTTAAAGCTGACTTCCTCATTTTATAATTTATTAAAAATTACGTAGCAGCCAAATCTAATTTCCAATTTAAAATTCTTTACAAAGTTCTCGCAGTTACTTGCTGCTTTTGGCAGAAACCTAAGTTAAACTAGTAGTTGATATCCTAGTGACTGTTGATTGATGTGTTTGCTGAAAGTCCTTTTGTATTTGCCATGTATTTATAGCAATAAAAGAATCATTTTGTTAGGAAAAATCCACCAGTACTCTTTTATAATCCACTGATTCGCTAGAAACATCCTTTCTTAAATTCTGCATGGTTGTGAACTAAGCGCTGGGCTTTGGAAGCTTCTCTGTGTTCCCAGGTGGTAAAAGAAATGTCAGTTTCCTCTTAGGAACAGCAGCAAAGAAAAAACAGAAACACTAATTGTTCAAACGGCTTTATGTTTTAGAAGGCAGAACTTTACGAAATGTCAGATTGACCCGTGGAGCCAGCACCTTCTTCCGGACAGGAAGACTATGATACCAGTGGGTGTTGGTTGGAGGTTTCATCAGCAGTAAACTTCCGTGGGCCAGCTGGAGCCGCAGCACGTCCATCCGCCGAGATGGGCTCTTCCCCCGAGAGTCCTTATGCCGGAAGAAGAAATCCCTGCAGGCTCCGAAGGAGACGGAAGCGATGGGGCTCCTGGGAGCCAGTTCCCGCTCATCATCTCGGTGTTCTCCGATGTGGTCACAACCGTCTCGATACCTGCAAGCGACAGAATGAGGGAAGTTCCCTACATAGACCCCGTTTCCCACAGTGACACGGAGTCCAGGAGCCAGGCTCACGTGCTCAAACACTTCACTCACCAGAAACACGCCTTGGGGTTCTCTTGGCTTGTACATGCAAACCTCTCAGAAATGGCCTGGTGTGGCACTGTGGGCTAATGCGTCAAAGACTGCAAAGTCATCTGAACTGCAAGGTCGGTGGTTCAAGCTCGTCAGCTGTTCCTTTGGAAACCCTACACAGGGTCGCTATGGGTTGGAATCGACTCACTAGCACTTTACAACAACAACATCTGTAGTCAGTCCACATGCCTTCATGTACTGTCTGGCCCCTGCCTCCCTCCTGAAACCCTTCCCCCTCTCTCATTGCTTCCGAGAGCACACCAGTCTGCTCTCTCTTTATCCAGGTGTCTGAGTGGCTGTATACTCCACATAGTCATCAGTTCAAACCCCACTGCCTCAGGAGCCTCCTCGACCGCCTCATCCACAGGCACTGTCCCTGCCTTCCGTAGGGGTGACTGCATTGCCAAGGGAACACTGGGCAACACAGACGTCCTGGAGCCTGTGACGGGGCGGAGGCTAGTTGCTGAGTCCTGTTGCACAGGGACAGTGCCTCAAAGAAAGACCCTCAGTGCTGCTGTTGGGAACCCTGCCTTGCACCTCACCCCTTGGAGGCCTTCTCAGTCAAAACACTGCTGACTAAGTGAAAGTGTTTGCTCACCAGGTAATCACCTCCCACCAAGGCATGAGTGCCATGAAGACAACCCCTGCTCGCACCTTCCCACTGCTCCCCAGTTTGTTCCAGGTCTCTAAGTGCAGTCGACCATTTGCTTTTGACAGCTAACCTTAAGGCTGGAAGCTCAAAACTCACCCAGCGCCAAGAAAAAAGGCCTGGCCATTTGTTTCTGTTTAAGATAACAGTGTAGTGGGTTAGATGTTGAGCTGCTAACTGCCAGGTCAGCAATTCAAATCCACCAGCCTTTCTGTGGGAGAAAGATGAGGCTTTCTGCTCCCGTAAAGATTTACAGACTCGGAAACTATACGGAGTCATTATGAGGCAGAACCAACTCGACGGCATGTAAAAAGCAGCAGCAGACAGCCAAGCAAACCCTATGGAACACAGTTCTCTAGGGTCACCAAGAGTTGGAATTGAATCAATGGCAATAAACATCTCTTGTTTATTAAAGAAGTACATTCAGATCACTTTTTCCTTTGAGATGAGACCAAAGATTTTGGCAGTTCTGTCCACTGGCCTTAAAAAAACAAAACACAAGGTAAAATCAAAGTAAGGTGTCACCTGTTGACGAGCACAAAGTTGAAGATCTGTCCAGTCACCTGGGAAACGCGCTCCCGGATGCGCTCGAGGACCGGGATCCAGGGCTTCGGAGACAGAGTGAGGCCTGAAAACGTGTAGGTCACCCCGGCGTCACCGTAAGTTGCTTGCTTCCTTGGTACATCATGCCACTTCCCGAACACCTGCACCCTGGCCAGCGCCCCTGTTCAAACGGCACATGCGGTCAGCTCTGTGCCTCCGAGCCCCTCAGAAACACACATGGGCAACCGTCCCAAACACTTACTCTCTGATTACCTACTGTGTGGTTTTTTCAAAACACACACATGTAAACAATGCACCCACACATATCATATACTCACCTTCTCACTGCCATCGAGTCGACTCCTACTCAGGGACCCTGTACAGGGTTTCTGAGGCTGTAAATCTTTACGGAAGCAGAAAGCTTCATCTTTCTCCCACGGAACAGCTGGTAGTTTTGAACTGCTGACAGTGAGATTAGCAGCCTGACTCGTACCCACTATGCTACCAGAGCTCCTTATGTGTACATAGATGTACATAGAGAGATACCCCTGATGCCGCTGTAGGATCAGCACTGGACTTCAAACCACAAAGTCAGCAGCTCCTCAGAAACCCTATTCAGGTTGGTATGAGTCAGAACCAATTCAACAGCACATAAAAACAACAATATATGTATCTGGATATGTATAATCCAACATGACATGCTTATAAAAATAACACATGAGACAGGGGTTGTTGTGTGGTTAGCAAAACTGTCACACATTTTGTATGTCAATTTACTGCAGTCAGGATTGAAAGGGAAGTAAAGCAGGACTAGCGTTTCTCTTTGCCCTTGAACATTATTGAACGCTGCCTCAAAACTGTGGAGTGCCCAAAGTGTTCAGGTAAGAGTAATGATTCCTGCCCTGCCCTTAGAGAACACAGTCCTGGTCCAACATATGGTAACACTAACAACCGCCTTAACTACTGTGGAGCCAAATAAAGACGGAGGCTTCAACTAGCACATGAGGTCGTTGGGTTTACGCGTTTGTGGTGCTGTGCCAACAAGTGTGTTAATTTACAGCAGCTCTGTGGGATATGAAAGAACTGCCCTGTAGGGTGCCCAAGGCTGTAAATCCTTACAGAAGCAAACAGCCACATCTTTCTCCCATGGAGTTGCTGGTAGGTTCAAACTGGACCTTTGTGTTTGCAGCCAAGTGCTTAACCACTGTGCCACCATGACTCCTTGGGTGGTTTGTAGAAGTTCCTGGGTAGTGCAGTTAAGCACTCTACTACTAGCCAGAAGATTGATGATGCAAAGTCACCAAGAGGTGCCTCAGGTGACAGACCTGGTGACCTGCTTCGGAAAGGTCCCAGCCTTGAAAACCCCGCCGGGCAGGTCTACATTCACATGGGGTCGCTCAGAGTCAGTGTCAACTTGATGGAAACTAAGGACGACGGGGTGGTTTTGCCAACTGTGGAGACTAAGGGCCACATAGCTCAGGGGGACTCCTGTGCACTTTTCCATGTCCCCCTCCAGGTGCCTGGGCACGAACAGCGGCATTGTCATCACTTGTAAACTATAGAAACCAGACCTGCGGGGTGAAGGGGTAAAAGTGAGCAGCAATCTGAATTCTAAGAAGTCCTCCAAGTATCATTGAGAACCACAGGTGCAGAGGGCTTACCTGGGTATTTGCCTGTCTCCCCCAGTTCACTAAGGACCTAACTACAAGGTCAAGGTCAGCAATTCAAATCTCCGAGACGCTGTGTGGGAGAAAGAGGTTTTCTGCTCCTGTAAAGATTTACAGCCTCAGAAACTCTATACAGGCTCACTAGGGTCAAACTGGCTCAACAGCACACAACCACCACCACCCACCAGACCAGTGGGTTTCAACCCTAGTGCACATTACAATCACTTGGAAGCTTTCTAAAAATATGGGTGTCCATGCATCACACCTACTAGGTTGGCTGTTATCAGAAAATGGAAAATAAGTGTTTGCAAGACTGTAGAGAAACTAGAATCCTGTCACAAAAGGTTGGCAATGCCTCAAAATGTGGTAGTGTAGTGGTTACGAATCGGGTTGTGAACCACAAGGTCAGCAGTTCGAAACTACCAACTGTTCTGCAGGAGAAAGATGAGGCTTTCTGCTCCCATAAAGATTTACAGCCTCACAAACCCTGTACAGGGTCCCTATGAGTGGAACCACTCCCCGCCACATAACAAGACCATTAAAAACAAAAAACAAACAAAAAAAAACCCTAACCCCCTCTACTGGTGACTCCATGTATTGCAGAGTGGGACTGTCCGTAGGGTTTTTAAGCTCTGGTCTATCAGAAAAAGATTGCCAGGCTTCCCTTCCAAAGTGCCTCTGGGTGGGCTTGAACCACCAACCTTTTGGTTAGCAGCCAAACACTTAACCACTTGCACTACCCAGGGACTCTCTCTAAACTCAGACCAGTGGCTTTATCAAACCAGCCTTCAAACACACACACATATCTGTCAGAGTCTTCTGCTTACCTGTAAAATATTCTACTTCTTTCTCCAGCTCTCGGAAAATCTCATCTGCCTCAGCTCTGTCATACAGGACTGTGTAGTCACAGTCCAGGCCCTCAGCCCGAATGTGCTGCCAGCGGGGGCCTGCCGAGTCCGTTCCATCCTCCACCAAGTCTCTTCTGGGCCTTTTCCTTAGGCTTCTCTCCTCTCCTCCCAACTGAGCTGGGTCTTCACCTGCCTGATCTTGTCCTTCCCCCAAGCTCTTCTCCTCACCCTGTCCCAAACGGTTCCTGGGAGCCTTCTTCACCAGGAATTTGTCCATTCTGCCTCTGCAGAGGAAACAATTAGGCATCTGGGGAGACGCAAACAGACAAAGAGGTGACCCAGTCTCTGTCTCTATAGTGGAAAATCCTCCAACACTCCAACTCACTGTTTCTCCTTCCATTTTAAAGTTTAAAGGCACATCTCAGACAGGAAGTCAAGGTTGTTAAACCTGGAAGGACTCCTGAACATGGACCATCAGAATCAGCTGATTATTTGACCCACTACTCCACCCACAAAACACCTGAATTTAAGTTTAAAGCATTGTTGTTCTGAAGTGTTGTGGAGTTGGTTCTGACCCACAGCGAAGCTGTATAGTTTCCAAGGAGTGACTAGTGTGGCTGAACCGCTGACCTTGCGGTTCAAACCCGATCTTGCAGTCTTGTGCATTAACCCACAGCACCAGGACAAATGTGGAAATGATCATCCAGTCCAAATCCTCATTTTACAAACAGGAAAACTCACAGCTAGAGAGGGGAAGGGATTTGCCCAAAGCAACCTCCTGGTGTGGCGCTGAAGGTTAATGCCCTGGACTGCAAGGTCGATTTTAACCAGTTCAAGCTCACCAGTCGCTCCCCAGAAACTCTATAAAGGGTTGCTATGAGTCAAATCACTCCAGGGCACTTAACAACAACCACCACTCAGGAAATGGGTGTGTCTGTCTCCTGGTTACAATACCCACCCCTTCCCATCCCACATAGGAGAAGGGGGAGGGGGGACGGATAACCCCCCACCACCCATGTCACTGTGAAAACAGGTGGGTATTAAAAAAACACCACCACAAAATCCCACTACTGTGGAGAGATTCCAAGATAGCAACACTACAGGACACACACACTAGAAATGTCCCTGTGGTGTTTTCAAGGTCCTGGTGGTGTTGTAGGAGAAGCACTGGACTACATACTGCAAGGTCAGCAGTTCAAACTCCGCTGTCCCATGGGAGAAAGATGAGGCTTGCTTTTCCCACGGAAAGCCTGTACTGGGTCGCTGAGTCACAATCGATTCGATAGCTGTGGGTTTGGGATGTTGTTAAGTGCCGTGGATAAAGTTCTGACTCATAGCGACCCTGTACAGTTTCCAAGAAAGGCTAGTGGGCTTGAACTGCCGATCTTGTGGTTCAAGCTGATCTGGCAGTCCAGCGCATTAACCCACAGCGCCATACCAGGACTCCGGTTTTGTTTTGTTTATCTTAACGGAAGCTGACAGCCTTATCTTTCTTCCTCAGAGCGGCTGGTGAGTTCATACCTGCGAGCTTTCGGTTAGCAGTCAAGTGCTTAACCACTGTGCCACTAGGGTTCCTTAGGACCGTATATTGTTGTTAATTCCGACTCATAGCGATCCTGTATAGGGTTATCGAGGAGGGAATGGTGGGTTTGAACCTCTAACCTTAGGGTGCTTATCATACAGTGCCACACCAGGACTCCCCAGCACTCCTTAACTGGATATAATTAAGAGTCTAAATGTAAAGCAAAGAAACACATACGCTGAATTCTGAAAGTGAGGGTTCTTTCTAAGATCTCAGACAGCACGCGGGTGACTCAGAAACTCGAAAGCATCGAAAAAGAAAACACACTCACCCGGACCACAGCCACTGCTTCCGGGTAGATTTCCGCCTCCAGCCGGAAACGCGGTGGTGGGACGTGTCCAGGAGCGTCACCTGCTGGCCTGTCAATGTATCGCAAGCATTTCCATACTTTCACTTCGTTATTCCCTACTGTTGATCATTGGAGAATTGGGAACTGTTGTTGGTGTCACCTCTCACTGGGTATTATCTTGGTGTCTACAAAGGGCATTAGGACACCAACATATTGTGGCGGTCAGACCCCTGGCTTCATTTCTGTCTCTTTGGCCCTAGCTGTGTGGGCTCCAATAGGTTACTTAACCTCTCTGGGCTTGATTTGTCTCCTCCGTTAAGCGAGAATGTGTGAGAAGTGCTTCTTTATCAAAAAAAGAAATAGCACGGTCTGTTTCTTACATGGACTTCTGGTGTGGCGCTAAAGGGTCAGCACTGGACTGCGAACCACTAGGTCAGCAGTTCAAACCCACCAACTGCTCCTTGGAAACCCCATACAGGGTTGCTATGAGTCGGAACTGACTCGACAACATTTAACAATAATTTCTTATTTACTCTTATAGCCCCAAGTGGAATGAATGTTCCAAGCCACCCTGGACTGCCTGACAATTTTGACAAACATACACTGGTGTGTGACCACTATCACAAGCAAAATCTAGTACAGTTCCAGCCAAAATATTCCCTCAGACTACTTAGCTGCCGCACCCTTCCCCCCCTCCCCCCCCACATACACACACTCCCTAGCAACTGCTGATCTGTTTTCTTCCCTAGAATTGGCTTTTCTCGAGTTTCTTATAAATGAAACCATACAATATGTAGCCTTGTGGGTCTAGCATAATACTTTTCAGATTTATCCATGTTGTTTGTATCAGTAGTTTGTTCCTTTTTATTGTTTAGCAGCATCCCATTGTTTTTGAGGATCTGGTGTGGCACTGTAGAACAAGTACTGAATTGCTAACCTCAAGGCTGACGGTTCGAAACCACCAGCTGTTCCTCGGAAACCCTATAAAGGGTGGCTAAGAGTCAAAACTTGACTCCATGGCACTTAACAACAATAACAATGTCCTGTTGTTTATTTACCCCGTCCGTTAGTTGATGAGGTGTTTGAGTTGCTTCCAGTTTCTGGCGATTAATAATAAAATTGCTATGAGGGCAGAAAAGATGGGGGAATGGTGCCTTAATAAGGATGAAACGATCCCATTGACTAAGAGTATGGTTGTATTTTTGGTCAATAAGCTGTACACCTATAAAAAATGGAATTGGTAAAAGTTGTGCGATAAATGTATATACAACAATGACCAAAAAAAAAAGTTGCTGTTGAAGCTGGTTGTATACAACCAAACACATCATGAGACATGGTTCCTTGCTTTGGAGGTTTAGAGTCATGGCTTCATGAGACATCCCAGTTGATTAGCCTAATCACATGCATAGTACTTCTGTCCTACCTCCTAATTCATTTAGTACCAGGGCCTCAAAAGCTTGCAAGCATCCATCCAAGGCACAGTTGTTGTTATGTGCCGTGGAGTCGGTTCTGACTCATAGCAACCCTGTACAGGGTTTCCGAGGCTGTAAATCTATACGGGAGCAAAAAGCCTCATCTTTCTCCTGCAGAACAGCTGGTAGTTTCGAACTGCTGACATTGAGGTTCACAGCCCAATTGGTGAACGCTACCAGAGCTCCTTAACTGGTCTCTATTCACCTGGAGCAGCAGAGGGCAAAGGAGAGTAAGGAATAGGAGGAAGATGTAGAAGGCGTGGCTAATTACCTCCGTTAACAACTGCCTCCTTGTAGTTCTGTGAGACTAGAAGAAAGAACTAAATGGTGCCTAGTTGCCATTACTGAACATTTTGATCAAGGATTCCACAGAAGAATTCTAATCAAAAGGGGGAAATGCAGAATATAATTTAAAATTCTTATGGTTTGTAGAGTTCCTAGAGCCATGGAAGGTGGGTGAATCCCTAAAACTACTGCTGTGAGATCTTTAAACCTTAAACAAAAGGATCTCCTGGATTCTTCTTAAAATCAAAGAATAGTCTAGCTTAGCTAGTAAAAACATCTGCCTGGAGCATTGTGTTCATTAAGGAACTATCAATAGCGGTTGAAACTGACAATAGCAACTTGAAAGATTAGATAGGACCTAGGGGGCAACGAGTTTATGTTAATAGGGAAGGAACAGATTTGAAGAAAGGATAGTGAAAATGGCTGCACAATTCAAAGAACGCAATCAATCAGTATCACTAAATTGTACATATGAAACTGTTGAGTTGGTGTATATTTTGCTCTGAATATTCTCAACAACAACAAAATAGTTACATTAAAGAAAAGCATAAAGTCATTATAAACATTCTTGTACAGGATTTTATGTGAATATAGATTTTTCACTTCACTTGGGTAAATACTAGGGAGAAGATTGTTGAGTCCTAAGGTAAAAGTATGTTTAATTTTATTTTAAAAAATGATAAATGAGTTAATAAACTGTCCAAATGTTCCAAAGTGGCCATAAGGGCAAATGATTTTTAATTATGTGGTGCAAGTGATTAGTGCTCAATTGCTAACCAAAAGGTTGGAAGTGCAAGTTTACCCAGAGGCAACCAGGAAGAAAGGCCTGGTGATCGAATTCCAATAATTCAGTCATTGAAAACCCCTTATTTTCAGCAACAACAAAAAATTTAAATTAAAGATGGTGGTGGAAGTCACAGGGAGGAATGCAAGAGTTAAAATGAATAGAGGTAAATACTGTTAATTGATGGTACATGGAATCTAATCATTGAAATGAAATGAAGTATATGATTTGTAGAATGTAAAACTGATGATTTGCTCCATAAACGTTCACTCAATTCACAATAAGAAGTTCGTTTAAAAAAAAAAAAAAAAGAAATAAGAGTCATTAGCGGAGGGCATGAAATCCCTACTTGGAAAAGCAGTAACAGGGAGATTGAAAAGTTGCCTGAGATCTTAACTGATAGAATCCCTCATCCACATGCATAATAAAATGGCTGCTTGCCACGCTTTCTCTCTCCCTACCAGAACTTCCTCTCTTCCTACTGGAACTTCCTCTCTCCCAACCCGCACGTCATCCCTAGTCAACCTATCACCTACATCCACTAATCTCAATACCCTCCCTCCTCTTAGACCAGTATAAAAATCCTTCCCCTGGCAATACCTCGCTCTCTTTCCTTCTGACCTCCAATAAAGCCTTGCATGTGGGTTTTTGTGTTCTGGCTAATTCCATCTCACAGTAACCCCCTGGATCAAGTAAAGCTGAGTGCCTACAGACAGGAGGTTGGTTTGCAGAAGGTGTATAGACTGGGTAAAGAAGCTTTGGAACACTTAAAAAGCCAAATGGCTGAGAAGCCAAAGACAAGATTGAGGCATTCCTGCAGTATGACAAAGATGTTTTTGATCCTAAATTGTACCTTGTTCACTTCCTCAATAAACCCATAATCATGAGAAGAAAAAAAAAAACTTGAACAAGTAAAACAAAACCTGCTAGGGAGCACAGTTCTGTTTGGATGCACATGTAGTTTTCTCCTTAGGAACTCCTAGTTCTAGGCACTAGGACACAACAATGACAAGGAAAAGGATAAAGTCGCTGCCCTCAGGAAAGTTAATTCTGGAGGTAGAGAAAGACAATAAAACAGAGAAACAAGGTTATTTTCCACAGTGTAGGAGAAGGCCTCTGAGGAAGAGTTCCCAGTGGAAACACAAGTTTTCCAGGCCGGGGACAGTGTGTGCAAGTGTGTAAAGGCCACATGAGGTACAAGCTAGGGGTGTCCAGCAAATACACAGTGAGTCAGGTAACTGGAGCTAGGTCACAGAGGGAAAGGAAAGACTACAGCCCCTAGGGCCTTGTGGGGCCAGTTGTAAGACACTGGGGTTTTATTCTATTTAGAAACCATGTGTTGTTAAATGCCATGGAGTCGGTCCCGACCCGAATGGCTGGTGAGCTGGAAGCACTGACGTTGCCGTTGCAGTTCAAACGACTTTGCAGCCCAGCGCATTAACCCACAGCGCTACACCAAGACTCCTTAGAAAGAAAGCACAGGGAGGTTTTAATGTGGTGCTGCGTGTTATGCGCTGGACCGCAAGGTTGGCAGTTATAGCTTATCAGCCACTCCTTGGAAACCCTATATAAGGTCCCTATGAGATGGAATGGCACTTAAGAACAACATACGAAAGAGAGGAGTCCTGGTGTGGCGCTTCGGGTAATACGCTGTTCTGCAAGTTCGCTTTGAACTGCAAAGTCAGCGGTTCAAGCTCATCTGTCACTCCTCAGAAACCCTATACCAGGTCACTATAAGTCGGAACCTTGCAATTCAAACCAAC